TATGTTCAGAACTACTAAAAATTTCAGTCATTGTTTAATGAACTAGTCCTTTCTACGTATATATAAAGAAATTCATAGGGTAATCAGAGATGGGAGAGTCTGAGGATGGGGACAGAAATTTATTCTGAGTCAAACATGTTTATGATGAGTTCCCTAGTCCGATGCCAGGGAACAAAAGGCTCATTCTTCAGTTCCCAGAATGAGGATTAACAGTGAAACAGCCTTGCCTGGTATTGTCGTGCAGCATCAGATAATTTTTCATCAAGGCTTTTCATGGGATGATATATTCTCCCATATAGATGCATCTATTTCAGTAGTGGGTGAAACACCTGTCATTTATGTATAATTTTAAAAGTGGCATTTTACAAATGAAAGGATACACAACCAAACATGACCCTGTTATTCTCCTACTGGTCAACCACAAGAGGGATCGTCTCTGTTAGAGCTTATCTCTAGAAATCATTGTATTGATAAGTTGCTAGTCTGTCTCTAGCTCTTTCTAGGTGGCTTAGGAAGTGTCATGTGTATCCAGGGGCGGTAATCTACCAAAGGTGATCCTTCTTAGAAGTATCCCTATGAGTGGAATGGATTTATGAGATCATTTTTTTCCCTTCATGTAATATTTTCATTGTCACCCCATCCCCTTACAATAGGATACCATGGATATATTGGAAAAAAAATTGGAAGTCAAATGGCTGATAATACAAGAATATAAAAATATTCAATTTGAAAATCTGTAGACATTTGTTAACCATATCACCCTCAAATAAAAAGCAAATTTTCCTGCTCCTTCTTGGGACAGGAAGATAAAAAGATTGTTGAATAGATCAGCAAAACACTGACTTTAAAAAAAAAAAAAAAAGATTGGAAGTTGCTTGCCTTTCCTGCTCATATTAGTTTTTCCCGGGCAGGGGAAGCAAGTGAATCCTTTATTGATTGTCATTTGGTGCCATTTTTAATAATCAAATTTAAATATAGGCTTTAGCAGCCGACGGGTTCGATTTGGACAGAACACATGTTGACTTCCTGAACTGTTTGCTCACTGGAGAAGCCGACTTGTTCTGTAGACGGGGCTGCATGTTGATCTCCTTTGTCTCCAGAAGGATTGATTGACGGATGTTGTGTCTGCTCATTTACAGCGTTTCCCTTGTTTAATTTTAAAAATTGTGACATAGTATTACATGTTCCCTTGTATACATCATTTTTACAGAAGAAAGTTGTTTAGCCAATATGTCGACTTAGTTTATGAAATCCTCTCTATAGCTTTCATTCAGCCCTTCGTGTACTCCATTAGGTCATATTCATTTCATGCACGGCAAATCGTCACCAGCAGCAAAATTTAACATTTGGTCCTTTTAGGTATAAAAATGAATCAAATGCCTGACAAGATTTGTTTCTGGTATATATTTCAGAATCTTCCCCCTCCCCCCCCCCCCCCCCCCCCACCCCATCTTTATGGGCATACAACAAATGTTACTAACGGGTACTTTTAGTTTTAAAAATATGGATAACGGTACTCCACGCAGTAAAAGACTTGAGCGATTAATGCTACCCTTATGCCTCTTTTGAGTAGTTTTAGCCATGGGGCTTGGCACTGCCACCATTGTCTTTGTGCCAAAAAATATCCGCAGCGGCTGTCGCATTCTAGTACCGGAGGGTTGTCTCGAAAATTCCGCAGTGAACGCGCCGGGTTTGTTCATCACTGCTATCTCTTTTAAATATTGGAAAAATAGAATCTTCAGCTCTTTCAAAGCCCCGTTGTGGTTGTGGGGATGGGGGGAGGCGGGTGGTGAAGAATGGAGAAAGGAGGAAAGAGGCTGTCCGCGCCAGCCAGTTGGTATAAGTGACAAAAATCCATGCCTGACATAGAGTAAACACAGATATTTAGGAGCTTTTGTGTTCATGAGCACAGATAGTTACTTAAGGATCCTACTCAAACGTGTTATCAGCGCTCTTGAAAATTTTGTTATCTGAAACAAATGTTCCAAGTGAATTTTAAGCAGAAAATCAACATCAAGACCACAGCTAATTTTTAATGGATAATTTACACAAAAGATAGTTTCTTTTCTAGAAACCGAGGTGCCCTTTTAAAATGGCTGCTTTTTATCTTAAAAAAAAAATGATAGGAATCGCGATTTTATGTTTGAGAAGGTGCTTGGGCTTTATCCACAGTGCCTGATTATTTTGCTCCAAAACAGGGGTTTTGGCTCTGAGGGCAGATTTATAGTTGAATTTGGGAACAAAAAGATGTAATAAAGTTAAAGGCTTACACTATCAGAATGAAATGTGTTCGCTCATGATCTCTGGACCGATCTATTTGATGGTAAAAGTGGATGCTACAGATGAAATCTTTACGAGGAGTATAATCCTTAAAAAAAAAAAAAAAAAAAAAAAAAGTCCACCTCCCAGCCTCCTGCTGGCTGTGCTGCCTCTTTGGTACCTCGCAGACTTCGACAGAGCCCTGGACGGGTGCCCATTGATGTCATGGAAACACTCAAATTACTGAGAATGATTCATGTCTATGCTGGTCTCTTATCCTCCCCCACACAAACAGGAGTAGATTTTTAACCCTGACAACTTGTAATTTGCAGTGGGTTTATTTTTGTATCTGGATAAATATTTTTTAACAAGCAAAATTAAGATTAAGCAGTCTGTATCTGATATGATAGTAAAGAATGCTGGGTTCCATGTAGCCAAGAGTACTTTGGGGACTCTGTAGCGTGAATTCATATTCTTCTCCTCCTCTTTCCCTCCTCCCTCTTTCTTTTCCTACCCCTTGCTCTTTGCATTCCACTCTTCCTCTCTTTTTCTCCTACTTATTCTCTCTCTCCTTTTAAAATCCTGCCCTTTTATCTTTAAAATAATGGAAGGAGTAGCCCAACTTATATCTATAAGTGAGGCAAATCCTGGCAGAAAAATTCTTCCTTCCAGTTCTGTGTGTTGGAGTCGAGTTGGGAAATAATGCTGAGTAGTGAAATTCTACAGGGGATAGCTTCAGGAATTCCTTCTAGAGAAAAAAAATATAGATGTTTTTTTCTTCCTTAAACTGTATTTTACAATTTAGATTTTTAGAAATGACCAAAACAGGACACTAGATGTTCAGTTTCTTAGGAAGTCAGAGCAGATTCTACTTTATCTATCTTTCTTTCTGCCTGCCTTCTTACCTGCCCAGCTTCCTGCCTGCGTATCTACCTGTTAAACAAGCGAATATTACGTCAAAGTAAGTGATATAATGGTGGTATTGAAGCATTCTTAGATGCAAAAGCTTAAGGAAGGACACACGTCCTTTGATAGCTCATGAAGGTCGAGCCTTCTCTGTTAGTAACATTTAGAGAGAGAAGTTAAAGGGTGTAAGTAGCTTAAATTCGACGTACACAGATGAGTAAATATGTCTTTGTGACCATTCCCACTGCTGATACAAGTATAAATGCATCTTTTCTTCAATGTAAAATCCTCATACAGTGGAAGTTATTCTGTTTCATCTTCTACGACTGACAATCTGTGCGATGGTGTCTTGTTTCACTGAAATTGAAACTGATATGGGCATTGATTTTATACTTTGCGCTGAATGCTAGACCAGAAATGGGGCGGAGGTGTTTTCCCAACCTTAAGATTCATTAAAATCAGTAGAAAAGTTAATACTGGGAAACAGGGGGTTAATTTTAAGACTTAGGTTTGGCTTTCTTTGAAAACTGCTATCCATTTTCTATATATAATGACTTGGATACAGGGTACCCTTTTGACCAGATAGAAAATTTATGGATATAAATGTATCAAAGATACATTCTTTGTGTGGTGTCAGGAAGGCATACTCTAATAACATTGCTACTGCCATTGACCTAAAAGATAAAAAGGCTACTGTTACTTTTAGCATTCCTGTTGAGTTGAGAGGGGAAAACTTGGGGATTGTAAACTTCAGAAGGAAATCTATTCAGCCTCTCAAAAAACAAGTTTAGAGTTTTCCCATTGGATAAAAGAATAGTGTAGTCCTATGTATCACATACGGTTACTGTAAAGCTCCAGTCTTGATGAAAGAAGTATCCTTTAAACTTGAATGGGGTGGGGTCTTAGGCACCTGCACCTATCTGCCTCTTTTAGCTCCTTTTAATGTTCTGGTATGGACAGATTTCTACAATTATTCTCCACATGTCGCTGTCTGGACTCTGCTGCTTAGATCTCTTGTAATGTGATTTCATTATCTTCCCTAATGATTATTGGGGTTAAACTTTAAAAAGAAACAAATGAACACCCTTGATTTTATTCTTAGATGTGGCCAAATGGCATCGAAGGGTCCATAGATCTCTGTAGAGTAGTCTACAGATAAAAATCGGGCTGTTAGAATTGGAACCAGACATTCACATTCCACGATCCCTTGTGCTGCTGGGTCTATTGGTGGAATCTGAACTTGGGTTCAGAGTAGGCAATTTTTCAAAAGCCCTGTTTCCCAAATGTAAATTCCATCATCATCTTGATCATGATGGGACTCACTCCTGGGAAAGGGAGTTTTTGAAAACGAGAGAGAGACTCAGAATTTTGAATAGTTTCTTTGCTAAATTCACCATCTGGAGAGCCTTTGATTGATTAGTTTTGGCCTCACCATTAAGTGTCAATATAATCAATGGGAATTACTAGGCTAGGGTCATTACATAGATAATTTGCCTGCTGTGTAAATAAAAATGAAATTGTTTAAATTTTGTGCAAGAGAAAGTGAAAATAAGGAGTTACGATTTGTTTGTTAGAGAAAGTGGAGGCCATTGGAATGACAGTTTTTGGAAGTGTGGAGCAGTTTGGCTAAGAATAGGAATGAAGGATATTTTTTTCCAGTTTATCATAGCCAGAGTGAGGAAGTGTTATTCCCTCTCTTGCTTGCATACATTGCCAGTAGTGCCTACTTTACGTATGTAAACATCGGGGAAGAGCAGTAGATGTCTGTTACCTGGAGGAGATTTTTTTTTTAAGGAAAAACACAATTTACACTTTTTTGTCGTTTCTCTTGGCAGGTAAAACAGAAAGGGGCTCATACTCATCTTATGGGAGAGAATCAAACTTACAGGGTTGCCACCAGGTAAGTGAGAATCTCCGTTGCGGAAGGGTTGAGAGGATTAACCTGGTAAATCAGTTTGTTTGCTAAATTAGATGATGCATTTTAAACTGTGACACCAAAGATGCACTGGCAAGTCAGATGATGGCTCTCTCTTTAAGTAATGAAATAACACAGAGCTTAGAACTAATAAACACCTCATCTTTAGATCGCTGCTGTATCAGAACTACGTTCATGGGCTTGTTTTTATTTTTTAATCCATCAGCCGGTACCAGTGGCACTGTTTGCAAACCAGCAATGTCGGTGAAAGTGGTTCTATCAAAAGAGTTTGTTTGCAATTAAGAACTTAAGAATTTCTTACGCAGGAAATGCTTCACGGAGTCATGTGTCAGACCCTGGGTTTCGGGTGGCTATTGCCCTAAATTATAGTTTTCATAGGGGCTGTATGATGTTGTGTGAAAACAGGGTTGTATTGAGGGATAAAAATGTCTGTGAAAATATGATTTGTTGTCCCTTTTTGTTTCTGAATTGTTTTTGGCTGGAAGTCAAGGCCAGCAGGCTAACAGCAAAGCCGTCTCAAGGGAAGCATGCGTGAGCTAGAAAAATAAGAGTACTTTAATTAAATAATAAAATGCCAGTGTAATACAAAGGTATAGCATGTGTGTGTTTGTGTCTCTGGGCACTCTGCATTTGTGTACTTTAAACTCTCCAGAGAGAGGCTATTTCTAAAAATACTATCTGGCTAAAAGTGTAAGCTTTGTTTCAAGACAATTGAGTTTTTATAGATGCTTTCTTTTTCAGTTCAATATCAGTATTAATCATGTATTTAAAATCTTTTTAAAAAATTTATACTTCCTTTTTATTAGTGCATTAGTTTCTTCGGAAAACTCTTGATGGAATTTAATAATTCTCTTCAATATTCAGAGCGCTCTACTGTTTTTATTATTTACCCAAACAAAATGTACTTTTTTTTTTTTTTTTTTTTATGCTGGAAAGGGGATGCTTACTCTCTTGAACTCTCTCACCCTCTCATGTTCTTGATGGGGGAAGAATCTATTTTGATATTTTTTTTAAACAGCCCATTTAATATACCCCTGAAAAATGTAAGCAAAGTTTTGTTTTCGTAATTAAATCGAGCCTATGAGGAAAGTTTCCTTTACATATCAGACATAGGAAGGTACGACTTCTGGTGGGTTGGTGTGTTTGTTTTTTCCCTGTATATATTTGCATTTTTAAAGTTTACTCCCTTGGCCCAGCCACCAATTCAGTCATATTCAGCATCTGAAAGATTTGTTGCATTGAGGTGAATAGTGCTTGGTTAAGAGCTCCTGCCGGAGTGCAGTTCATGGCAGTTTGCTTGGAAAGAATTCTGCAGGAAAGAAATTTACAGCCATTCCAGCGCAACGGAAACATCTTTGGAATGTGAGTGCAAATGTTCGGGCTAGATAGCCTGGGCGACAAGCCTCTGAGTGCTGTGTCTCTGGTGTAAAGCTCTCAGTTCCTGCAGAAGAGCGTGTTCCTGTGGGTCTGGTTTCTGAGGGTCAAGGCGGAGGTCATTAGAGTTTTGGGGAGAAGAAAGTTGACAACATCCTTCCTTTCTGCAGATGGTCATGGCAGAGGTCTCTGTTTTCGCTGGGCCCCTTTTTCTGGTCATTGAGAGAATAGGCTTCCTCGCCCCTGTATCCTTTCTTACTAATAGGAATTGGCGTGATTCCTCACAGACACAAAGATTTCCTCTGCTGAGTAAGCGTGAGGCCCCTTAACTTGTGAAAGCATCATCCAGACCGTGTGAGTCTGTCTGTGTATGTGCAGAACACAGACCCTCCTTTCTCCATTTGTGGGGAATACTTCCCTCGGGTGAAACTGAAGTTAATTTTTTTTTTTTTTTCAAACAAGGTGAGAAGTGGAAAGGGGCAGAGGGTGGAAGAGAGGTGGATGGATTGGCATGTGATGGCTGAATTTTTGGGCCTTGGGAGGTTCGTTTTGAGGCATTAATGTCCAGGAAAATTCTTTTGTATATAGCACTATGACTGCATATGCTTTTCTTAAAAGCCTTCATAATGTAGCCGCAGAGTGTGGAGATTCCTTCATTCTTAATTTGTGCTTCGTGGTTGTGAGTCTTGCAAGAGTCTACTATCTCTGTGCTTAGCATGGTCGCAGCAATCTCCATAAACAGTGTGATTACTTAGAGATAAATAAAAGTGAAATTTTGGAAATTTGCTGACAGAGGGAAATAGGGACTGAAGATGAAAAATGTACAGAGTATGAATTTCTGCTTTCTGTGAAATTTGAGGATAGAACAGACCATAGTGTGTCTTCCAGTGAATTAGTTTCTCTTGTGCTGTATTGTTGTTTGAATCCCTGTCTACAACACCAGCTATGCAAACCAAAGAGAAAGGCAAAATCTCAGTATCTTGGGCTTCAAGTCTAAATAGCAGATCACAGCTGAAATGATTCCCCACTGTGTGACAAGGTGAGTGACTCGTGGAGGGGAGGCTTTTGTTTTCTTCTGTTTACTACATGATTGAGATACCGAATAGAAAACCTTTAGATGGTGTGCCCTAAGGAGCTCCAAAAGCTGCTTTATCGTATTATAACAATGTATCCTATGGACTTAAAGGGGTGAGCAGTGCTATATGGAAACACGCTTCTTCCAGTCCCAATAGCCTTTTGTTTGGTGTAGAGACAGAGTGGTGGTAAGCAACAGGTAGTAAAGGGCTGTCCTGGAAGAATACATTATTATTGCGAGATGTGTATTGTTTCAGAAATATATCAAGTTAAAAAATAGATACATATTTTAGATTTATCTTAAGGATTTAACATTAATACTAGTGGACATATGGCACTTTTTAAAATGGATATATTTTAGCAGAAGAACAAAAGCCGGCAGGTTCTTTACTAGTAATTAAGTTGTTTTCATTAGAAATAGTAATGGGATAATATTATTTCATTAATGCATTTTCACGTGAAATTATCAGAAATAAACATGGTGACTTTTTGAGACTTTTAAAATTGTGTAGAAAATGAACCAATAGATAAGCAAAAGTAACCAAATGAACTTTTTTGAGTTCTTACTAAATATGACAAAGCTAATTTACATCAAATTGGGGTGCAGAAATCACACCCAGCTTAACATGTTCTTGCCAAATTGTAACCTCATATTCCTTTTAACTGGCAGAGAAAATAAAATTTATAATGGAAAATCTGACAGAAATGGAAATGAGTGGGAATAAAGTTTTTTGCAAGATAGTCCAACCTTAATACTATAATAGACAATAACTAATACCTAATGGGCATCATTGCAAATGCCAGAAGGGAAAAAATGTCATTTGTTTTTGGCTTCTTTGGCTTCTTTTGCTGCTTTGAATAGAATGGCGACTTGCAAACTTTTAAATTTTGCTGAAATCTATTTTTTTTTAACGAGATGATGACATCAAAACAAGTAATTGTTATTAGTTCTCCCCTCAAATGGAAGTTTAGTGTTTATTATCAGGAATTGTTTGTATTTTCTTTCTGGGGTATAGCCCATGTCTAAAGCCATGGTTTCATTATTAGTATTTGTGTGTGTGTGTGTGTGTGTGTGTGATATGAGAAAGAAGAAGAGGAGAGAGAGAGAGAGAGAGAGAGAGAGAGAGAGAAAGCTGCCTATCTGAGACCAATCAAATTAGAATCTTGTGAGCTGGGCCTGTGCTTTTCTGACAACTCCCCAGGTTATTCTAATGTGCAGCTAGGTTTTATCATTTCCTAGAATGTTCTATAGAAATATACTCTGATTAATGACTTGTGTTCAACATATGGCATTACTACTGACCTTGAAAATGCTTTTAGGCTCTTTGCATTAATTTGATTATCCAAGGCATGGAAATACATTACATATGAACTTCATTTAAAAGGTGGTGAAAATTAGTGATATAGTGAAAATCTTGAAATCTTTATGTAGAATTCCACAACTGAGTGTCCCAGCCCATATCTTGTTTTCTCTAGTGAAGTCCAAGCCTTTAGCCTCATCCAAATTCTTTTTCTTCCTCAGCAAGTAATCAACTAGGACTTTGCTGTTACAGTTATTTGATGTTTAGATCTTAAAATGACTAATGGAATATAGGAATTAGACCTGATCTAGGAGATTGTTGTTAATTTCCACAAACTTGGAGACCAGGGAGGAAACGGATTTTCTTTATATGTGACTTAGTTTGCCCATAGGTTGCTCATTTTTGGTTCATCGAAATTAAGCATGTAGTTGATTCCAAAATGAATTTCACATTTTAGCATTGATTTCTTTGTCTTAGTATTTTACTTTTTATTCAATAGGTATTACAAACAACTTAATTCTAAAACTTTTGGCTTCTTTTAGTTTTTCTTATCTAAAGTCAAAATAGGATGTAAGCGAAAACGGCACAAAATTATTTTGTTTATTACGAAATTGGCAATTTAGGCCTTATGCAAGCAGAAATACACATCACTTTTTAATTTGCTACGATGCCTAAGTGTTTATTCTGAGTGTTCAGCACATCCCTCGAGGTCTTATGCATCCTTCCTGGGAAGCTCTCCTTTGCAGGGCTTTAGCACCTTTTAAATTTGCCATCATTTTTATGTGTTTGTTGCATGCTGATTTCCACAGGATTCTGTAAACTCCTGGAGGGCAGGGACCATGTCTGCTTTATCTTGCATGTATACCATGTTGCCTAGCAGGGCAAAAATTGCAATGACCTAGTGTTTCTTTCCTCAGCATCACTTTTGGAAGCCATTTTGAGGGAGTAAAGTCTGAATAGCAATGTACACGAACCATATTGTGAGCATCTTTTTCATGCCTACGAAAACCAGAAAACTGCCCTCTCCCAAAAAAAAGTCCTTTGGAAGCTCTTCCTTCTAACATGCTGTGCAGGCTCTGGAAGGACACCAAAGTCATATCGTGGAGAGACACCCACTCTGACTTTTGGGGGGTTGAGTCGTCTCACTCACCTGGTGACTTCACCATTCTAGGCCTGTATATCTAGAAAGGCCTGAATGAGGGAATTAGAGATGGT